GTCCTGCAAAATGACAAACCAAACAGACCAACAAATACATCCACAAAAAGTGCTACAAAACAACATACAAAAGCATCCAACTAAACAGTCTCACACAACAGTATACAAGGCTCGGACACCATCTCACCTGGGACCCGTTCCACAAAGCGATCTTAGCACTACGACTGTTGTAAGTCTGTGTTAAAGTAAGGGAGTTACGGTCGCTTTGTGAAATAGGGCCCAGACTTATGAGAAGACACAATAGATGCCATGTCTGAAATGGGATCAGTATTCTGTGACCATGTTTTAGAGACACAAAGTTGGCATCGCTGCCACAAAGCGTCAGATCGGTAACCTTTGGAATATCAGCGGTGGTGTCCGACATTCAGTAAGACTACAAAAACAGCGGAACTTGAAGATCAAAGGTGGTAGTTTGATCATAGCTGGGATCATGCAGACACAGTTTCATCTCCACAGACCTTGTAGTTTCAGAGGAGTGTCCAAAATGTAAAAGTTAACGACGGACGGACAGAATGCATAAATATGCTACGGTTTATGTCGTTTTTTTTCACAAACATTGGCAACTGCAGAACCGTCCTTCTCCGGACACCTTGCATGGTCAATGCATGTCCGGTCATCTTAACATTGTCCTGACTCTAAGTATCAATGTTGCATAATACATGCAAAGAATATGAGGATGAAACATTTCCGACAAAACCCGACAAAATCGGTATCACCTTGTTTTCCAAAAATGATAACTTTTTATAGAACTCGTGTTGACTTCTATAATTATACTTCCATATATGCTTAGAATATGTGTACCTTAATAATATCAAGTGGAGAAGTATTTTTATATTTGACCCTAATAAAATTCTCGCGTTGCGTGATATTATGCTGTTGCAAGGTTGTAATTAGTATGAAATCACAATAAACGCTCTAATAATAGACAAACCGCCTTGTCGTTGTCTTAAACCTAAATCACAACTACATGTCACGAAGCATTGATGTCTAAAATTAAGGTTGAGAGAAGAGTTTACAATTCATGATAAATGTATTAATAACCTACTGGGTGTTTTGTGTATTCCGACCTGGGAGTCTTTTACCCATTTCTTCGCCATGTTATCAGACTGATTCATTGGGGAGTGAGTGAGTATGGTTTTACGCCGTTCTTAGCAATATTCCAGCAACATCACGGCGGGGGACACCAGAAATGGGCTTCACACATTGTACCCATGTCGGGAATCGGACCCGGGTCTTCGGCGTGACGAGCGAACGCTTTAACCACTAGGCTACCCGACCGCCCCGATTCATTGGGGGAAAGTTTTTTTAGTAAACACTAAACAATCGTAATGTCACGGGTATTGCTCCTCCTGTCGATTCCTCGTTTTCTTTGTATTCACCGTTCTTGTTGAAGCTTTCTGTCTTCTGTTCTTTGCTATATTTTGATGTATAGACAGATGCCCTTGGGTTGTCTTTTCTTGGGCAGGGCAGGATACGCTCACATTTTCGCGAACACCCGGTATCAACACTATTTGATGGCGATTCATAAATATAAAACGTCAACGCCAGAGAATGATCTCGATTATCTGCCGAAACTGATTCCTTTGGCCGCAAAAGGTGAAACATATTTGAATGGATCACTGCAATCTCATTAAAATCAGACCTCAGTTCTCGCTACCGCTAAACAAAGATCTGAGGACATCCCATTAGGGGTCACGTCAGAACGACCTTTCATCCGACCAATCAGAGCATCGCTTACCAGATTATGAAAGTGACAGTCGGAATGTGACTTCTAATCATGCAACCTCGAAAACGTTTAACTCCGAATGATAGTTACGGGTTTAACGACTGAATCCATACAATCTAGACCATCTATTAGCCATTCCAGAATGTTCTTTTGTTCAGGTTTCAAATGTGTAATCGAAGATTTGTCAGAATATGTTTCGAAGCGTAGTCGCCAATTTGAAATTAGTGCCGTAAAGCAGAAGAGATCTGCCTTCTGATCATTCCATTGGTCGGTCAAAGTTCGCGCAAGGTCGGTCTGGCGTGACCCGTAATGGGATGTCCTCAGATCTTTGTTTAATGATTTACTGATTTTAATGACATTGGGATCACTGTAAATCAGTGATGACACCAGGCGTTGACACGTGTTCATGATACAGTCGGACTCGGGCAATAGACTGCCCTCAGTGGATACATCCTATGATTATGGAAACGGTTCAGTCGCTTCATACCAAAAGACGTAAAAAGAAGGAATATGCTACCCTGCCTTCCAGGGTAGTAGTATATATGTTGAACTGCAAGATGGGATCTCAATCAATCAATCTTTATTCATGGTACTGATGAGGCCAAAGGCCTATAGTACTTTGTCTGAGGCGTGTTACAAATTCATACATTTTCTTACTTTCATAGCATTAATATGAACATTGATAAATTTCTCATTGTTTCTGTACTATCACATGTCATTAGTTTACTTAATTTGTACCGGTTTGGTTGTGGTCGAAAGTTATTTAGATATTTACACATAAAAAGTGACATTCATCTTCAAAACAATCAGTTTTGCAAATCCTACAAAATCTATGTTCTCTTGCAAAACCTTCATATCTGCCGGTTTTAATAAATAGATCATGTGAGCCACAACAAAATCGAGAAAGAGCTGTTCTAAATTTATTTAACTTTACACTTACAGATAAGGTTCTAGTATGATAATAGTCTTAAAGGTAGTGTAATAATTTGCTCTTCTAGAACTGGACAAGGAACCATGCCATTTTTGGATGTACATATCTTTTAAGGTCTGTGTCAAACGGGCGAAGAAATGCTGTGGCATATCTACATGTCGCTGTAACCAAATATAACCATATCCATATTCGTATAACATGTTTTTAACTTTTGATGCCCAATTTGTTTCCCATGGCTGTCGTAGAGAAGCATCATATTATAACATTTTCTAGGGTATCTTGAAGATGGCATATTTAATAACTTGCCCCAGTATTTAATAACCTTTAAATAACGATTGATATACATCGGAAACCATCCGCATTCACCATATACATTTGCGTTTTCTGTGCTAGATTTTACATCCAAAAGATTTTTACATGCATATAAATGTATTTTTGAAATGAAATCCAAATGGGATCTCAGGGATCTCGTCCGGACAAGTACAAGCAGACACACCCGTTCACGTCACTCTGGGAGGGAAATCATCTTGAACGTAACGCTAAAGTCCATTTCACCTCGCTTTAGAATATTTTGGGAATACCTTTTTTAGCCTGTGTTGTGTGGAACCTTTCTTGACGCCTGATATCTTCCCAGTGTGTTGTAACAAATCTCATAGTTTTGTGCTAGGTTCCTTGTCAAATAAACTAAATCTGTTTTTACAGGAATACCACAAAACTAAGTACTTCTAAACAATGTCAATGTGTATGTGGCATTACCTTTTTTTCCTTTGAGAGTTGTGGGGTTGAGGGTGGAATTGGTCATAAGGAACAGATGCTTGCAGAAGGCGACTAACGGGATCGCGTGGTCAGGCTCGCCGACTTGGTTGATGCATGTCACAGTGGCGATTGTGTGGTCGATGCTCATGACGTCAATCACTGGATTGTCTGGTCCAGACTCGATTATTCACAGACCGCCGTCATAAAGTTGGTTGGTTGGTTGGTTTGTTGTTTAACGCCGCACTCAGCAATAGTCCAGCTATATGACGGCGGTCTGTAAATAATCGAGTCTGGACCAGACCATCCAGTGATTAATATCATGAGCATCGATCCACGCAATTGGGATCGATGACATGCATCAACCAAGTCAGTGAGCCTGACCACCGGATCCCGTTAGTCGCCTTTTACGACAAGCATGGGTTGCTGAAGACCTTTTCTACCCCGGAATCTTCACGGGTCGCCGTCATAAAGAAAGAATATTGGCTAGTGCGTCGTTAAACAACAAACAAATAGGGGTTGTATCTTTAATTTATTTTTTTCATTTGTTTTTTTTCATTCTCTTAGGGCTGCGGTAAAACTGTACGTTGCGGCAGTCAGCAATATTCCATCTGTAAATAGTCGACTGCAGATATGGACCAGACAAGCTAATGATGGAAATAATTAGCTAAATCAAATGTGCTTTCAAACGAATGGCCTCGTCCCCCAACCCGGTTTAGTCCAGTCTTATGATCAGCAAATATTGCTAGGGATCTTACCTTCAATGGAGGTACAACAAAATAAACTTAATAACTAATGTTGCCTATACGATTCGTAGACTCGGTCGTCAGGTCAGCGGATTAACGTATTTTCATGGCTTTCCACTGTTGCTTTTCTGTACATAAGGTAACAAACAAAATAAGGTAACACGATCTTGAATTTTGTTGATCTGCGAATCTGCAATCATTTTGAGGTTAGCCAGTCATGGGAAGACAGGTCGACCTTTGTGAACCATCGTAGACGTACTTCACCAAATTATACGAAATAGTCTCTCTAACGTAAATTACCTGAGAAATTGGCTGCAAGTCACTGAACTTAAGTAAACTCAAACAATCTGGATTTCACAGAAAACTCGGGATAAGGTGTGTTCTTTCTTATTACTCACAAATTCCATTCTAATTTTGGGGCTCGCTTGAACGTGTCCTCCTACCGCAACAACGTTACTGAATATGAATTGGTAGGTAATGTGTAATTAGCATGGTAGTGAGAGTTTTATATGTACATGGCAGATACATATCAGACTCGTAAAGTTATCTCTGGCTCAAACGACTTCGACACATTGCCCTGCAGTATTTCTACTTTTAACACCCGTCAGAAAACGGCACGAAAGTTAAGTTTACCGTCTAGGCATCTGCAAATAAAAAAGATTTAAAAACAAAAAACAAAAAAACTCCATCATACGATTCCGACTATATCATCAACATGTGTTTTTGAAAGCCATTATTATATTTACGAATGTCGGGGTGTTTTTTCAGCTCATCGACCAATAAGCAGTGTGGGTTTTAAAAAATATACTTACCTTCAATATAGAATGCAACACGAAGACATGCGTAATGATTTCCGCAAAATTTTAATCAGAACAAGCTGCAAGAATCAATGTCTTTTCTGAAGCTTCACGAACACAATTTTTATGAAACTAAATCCTGTACATGATGAAATGATAATAGGGTGCACTGTGCCAACACTACAAAACATCCCATGTAACTCAACATACTGTCATTATGAAATGTATTTACAAAGCAGATGATGACAACATTGCTGGGATATCAGCACGTGGAGAGCAGCAGACGACAATATTACCTGCTCAAGAACGATGCCTGAAATCTGTTGACCTCCATTGCAGAAACGGCCAAGCTGAGTGTGTCAGTATTTAGGACATACATGTATATGCATTACTTGATCAACGTCGATTTCCTTCTTGGACATATTCATAAAATAGAAACACATTTTATGTAGGGTTGCTGGTTTGTGGCAGGTTGACAAAATATACTACACGAAAGAAGTTAAGGGCCATCTGATTCCTTCACATTACTATAGTAATCTGTCATGGAATTACCGATTAACTATAGCGACAGAAGAATCGGGTGGTCCTTATATTCTTTTGAGTAGTATGTCGAGAACCAGAATTGTAATAGTTGTTTACTTCTTATGCAATTGCAGTAACATCATGAGACCTGTGAAGGTTCTGGCTGCAGAATCTTTATACCAAAATTGTATGAATATACTAGCTTATTCTGGACCAAAAGAAACATAAGGATCAGAGTCGCAAATGAAGACGTAAAATGAAATAATGAAAAATTCAATGATGCGAGACAGTTTTGCTTTTCAATAACATTGGCCAGACAACGTTTCTATTTCACTCCATGATCGAAAACAATGGGTTCAGGGATTGCGAATATGGAATATACTATAAAACTGCAATAAATTTTATCACGCGTTTAAAATCATCTTGATGTATCTTTAAAAAACGAGGATATATTGACAGATTGTTTGTTCCTCTACTAGAATCATCAGATCATTTACATGTATTCTCAGAAACCTGGTTCGAAGGTCAGACATCACAAGACGGAAAGGGCACTTCATAAAGATGTTTCTACTCTCGCTTTCAACTTCTCTGGTTGCGACACTCACTCCCATTTGCCAGTGTCGGTCACTTTGGTGTAAGCATGTATGTGTTGCCTTCTCGGTAGCACTTGCAACTTTTTAAAGCAACACATGAGTGAGTGGGTGAGTACGGTTTTACGCCGCTTTTAGCAATATTCCAGCAATATCACGGCGGGGGACACCAGAAAGGGGCTTCACACATTGTACCCATGTCGCGAATCGAACCCGGGTCTTCGACGTGACGAGCGAACGCTTTAACCACTAGGCTACCCGACCGCCCCAGGCAACACATGAATCAGTAACTGTGCCATTAACATTTTCAAATAGCTTTGCAAATGTAAAACATGAATTTTACATCTTTACTCATATACTGATGGAAAGTTTGAAATTTGTAGTGCATAGTACTTGACGTCTTTTATATATTCTCAGTCCACGGCAACTTTCACGCGAGAAACGTCGTTGCGAAGACATCAAACGACGGACGACGGACGAAAAGAAAGGCAGCCAAATGGAAAGAGCTGACCATAGTTATGTGATCCTCTGGGTTTCATAAATTTGAGATTTATAATTCATGTTGAATGTACCTTTCCGTTAGTCTCGTGAGCTTATTTCCTCAAGACGTTTGGTGCGTAATGTAACTGCACGAAGTCCAATGGTTGCCATTGTGTATTTGGAGAAGCTTCCGTCATCGCTCTTTACCATTGTACACAGTACAAATCATAGCCTCGTTTGTGTTGTTTGAACCTCAAAGGTTGCTTACAAATTTACAAATCGGTTATAAAATCAAATATCACCAATCGTTATATAAAACATCAGACTTAAAACAAAGGAATATTTAACAAGTCAATGAACATTTGGTTAACAACGTCTAAAACAGTTTTCAATTCAGCATCGTCACACTTGATTGAGGTTAAGTAACACCAACACAGCGTTCCTTTAACGTTGCATAACCACACTTAATTTGAAGAAATGTGTTCTGTCGTTTTGAAATAATACAGTGAACATTAGGTAATTCAATTTGAAACATCTCTAACTGGCGTGTATTAATTATTGTCAGCAGTAATGTAATGATCTGTTTCTTCTTGACTTCCATTCACCATCTTGGTGACTGGAACTGACATGAAATGACCCGCTGTCTGATTCTGTGTTCGAAGTGTTGATGAAGAGATGGTGTGCATCTTCCGATGAGCTGTTCTGGACGAATCTGACTTGGTGAGGGGTCAATTTCTCTCTTCATAATAGCACTTCTTGACAATTTCTATGTCGTCTCTGTGAATGGCTGGATTCAAACTACCTCCAACTATTACTGCAACAACGCGGACTTGCTGTCAAGGACAATGTCCCTAAGTCAAAACATATGACAGTCAATGTCTTAATTGCTGTTTATATATCTTCAAGAGGTTTCAATACCTTATCTGTAAACAAGACAAATGGAAGACAAAATTCAAAGGTAATGTTAAGTATTATATTACATGAAATATATGGTGATGTTCACTATGTGTACATGTATGTGTGTTTGAAACCATTGCATGTTGCAAAGGCACAAGTGAAGGTGTAAACTCTAAGTGAATGGGTTTCAAAACCTTTGTCAGCATTATTGCAGCTATGTGAGCTATCTGCTGATTAAGCAGATCTGAAACTGTCAACCTGTCTGATAATTTGATCTCTCTCTCTCTCTCTCTCTCTCTCTCTCTCACACACACACACACACACACACACACACACACTAGCATTGAGGTATGCAGACACACAAGTTTGCAATAAGTCACAGAGCTAAATTACAATCCACTTTCAGCTGTCAATATGGCCATCCAAACTCAACTGATTCACCCTCCGACCCTCTGTTTGCACTATAGTCAGCCATATTCCAGCTATATTATTGTGGCCTGTAAATAATGAGGGCAAGGTCAAGAGATCCAGGGGTTGAAAGCACAACTGACATCGTACAACATCCGGTGCAATGGCATACAAGGTGTACAACCAGCCAAGTCAAAAGGTCCTTGCACACATCCACATTTTCTCGGGACTCTGAGCAGGCATGAGGTACAGCAGGGGTATTTTGACCTAAAACCACCACAAGTCAGATACAACAAAGGCCCAGCATACTTAGAATGTTTTCAAAATAATCATTTAGGGGGTGACTGGGACTCTTCTGCTCTTGATTCTCATGATCACACATGAGTGTGTAATTAGATGAGCAGAATCACTGTAATAAGCAGCTTAGTAGACAAACGAGAACACTTTTAATAGCTGAACTGAACTGTGATTTATCCCTGTGACTCAATCCAAACTCGCATTGTCTTGTATCTTGGTGAAGGAAGAGCAACTCCAACATGTTAAAACGAAGTATATTCTTCTGCATGAGCTTGAGTGTATTTCATAAACCCCTTCCACTGTCATGACGATGCTTCTTGAGATGCTAGACATGAGTAAGCGAGGGGGTATGGTTTTACGCCACTGTTAGCAATATTCACCAATATCACGTCCAGGGGACACCAGAAATGGGCTTCACACATTGTACCCATGTGGGGAATCAAACCCGGGTCTTCAGCGTGACTAGCAAACGCTATAACAACAAGGCTACCCACTGCCCCTCCTAGACACGAACCAAATTGAGGAAGGTAATACTGAGTAACTTACACAATAAGATTATTTAGGTGTACTACTCAAAAGAGGTTAAAGAACCCCCAATTCTTTCAAATTAATATGCCATGACAGATTAACAACAGCAACATGAAATAATCAGGAGTCCTTTAACTTCTTTTGAGCAGTATACATAAATATCAGCATATTAGCCTGAAAATGTAGCATGTAAAGGTTGAAATAATTTGCTGACTTGGTTCGTCATCCAAGAAAATTAAACTGTAAAAAACCTTTTGCTTAAGGTAGTCGTTATCCAATTCAAAATGTTTTTAGCAAGTTATTAGAATATATTTAACAGAAGATATTGGCGTAATAATGATTTCAAATGCTCTGCAGCACTGACAGAATATAATTACCATTATTGATACAGTACAGACAGGGTTGTTGACATCATTAAACATGAAATCACAATAACGACAAACGGTGCCACTGTTGCTGTCAGGTTGACCCTATCAGCATGATCAGTTTCACCATACATACGGTCTTAAATATACAAGGCAATACTTCTTTACAATTTGTTTACTTTGGCTAATCAAAAGTGTGGTTAATTAAAAGAAAATACAACCGTTTATCTTGATTTTACAAAACTCTTGTCAGAATCCCTCACAAAATTACTCATTCCGAATTCTTTTGTAAAATCAGTACCACACACTCATGTACTGATTTCTCTGCTACTCTTAATGTTACCTACATACAACATCATAGCAAGCATCACTAAAAAAATAGTCACCTACAATTGTTGAAAACTCTTGGTTTAATGTGTGACAGAACAGTGTATATGTCCACCTTGAACAATATTTCAGCTGTATCTCTGTGTGTGGGCCAAAGCCTGAAGTGATGTAGGTCATGGACATTTACCACTTTGAGGAACCCCAAGAGAATGGGTATGATGCTGACAAATCAAGGATCACATCATACAGGTGAATCTGCGATTTGATCCCACGACCAGCTGATTCTGGCAACAAGGCGGTAGCAACTCTGCACAGAGTATTGTGGTGCTTGAGACCACAGGGCCACCCTCACCCCTCTAGTTAATTGTGACAACAATCACATATTTCTTGAAATAATGAGCAAAATGTTTGTTTGTTTGTTGTTTAACGCCGCATTAAGCAATATTCCAGCTATATGACAGCTTTCTGAAATCCAGACCAGACAATCCAGTGTTTGATATGAGCATCGATGCACGCAATCCGGATACAATGACACGCATCAAGTAAGTCAGCGAGGCTGACCACCCGATCCTGTTAGCAGCCTTAACGACAAGCATAGTCGCCTTTTAGGGCAAGCATGGGTTTCTGAAGACCTATTCTACCCCGGATATTCGCAAAATGTAATTACTATCCATGAATAAGCCCTTTGAAAAGTAACATATTCAGTGGTGTGAAGGTGCATGCATTAGAATGTTGTGTCGGTTGTTAAATGTCTGAAGGTGTCATTTACAACAATGCCAAGATCATGTAGGCTATTGTGGACCAATCATATGGAATGAGAATGTTTTTGTAGTCTGCCAGTCAAATCTCATCTATCAATACTGATGAAAATTGTGGTCCATGAGCAGAAAAACCACTGTTGAATACTGTGTGCATCCATCCAAGGTGTGGACTGTGCTGTCAGCCTTGACTTTCAACATGTTCAAGAAAAGCATAGGACCTGGAAGCCCCACACTGCCCTGGAGCTTGATCACATGATCATGTAACATGTGTGATCTTGCTTAGAGGAGATGTTGGTGGTCGTTTGATAGTGACAATGTAGGCACAAAATCTACCCTCTTCAATCGGTGTACATACATGGTCAGTATCAGATAGTCCTAACCAAAAAAAAGTGACCAATTTAGAAATGGGAAGCTGACACTGTTTGGTTATGCTGAAAGACAAACTTGGGGTAGTGGACACCGACTGAAATTATGCTTGAAAATTGAACATTTTACCTTAACCACTTTTGACATTTCTAACTGTTGCGTTCTATGTTTTTTGGTAGTAATGGGTAGTGAGTATGTACTTTGCATTTCTGTTCATATGACGTCTTATATTTATGCGACACTGTTCACGGAGGGTGTAGGTCTCTAACTTTTATCAAAATATTTCTCATTTAGAAGTGTATGTTAATGTTTATACTTTCAGCAATATTCCAGCTATATCTTCAACTGTAAATAATGATAATGATGAGTCTGTGTGGGTCAAGAAATGCATCAGTTGATAGCATGAACAACAGTCCAAACAATTGAGGTACAATCATACACAACAAACTAGGTCACACAGCAAGAACACCGATCCACATAGCTGTTTTTCACAACAAGCTTGGTATCTGGCGCTCGAAACATCTTGTGTAATGTTCAAGGATTAATGCAACTTGAGATACAAGTCTTAAAATATTGTCACAATCTGTGATATGTTTGTGTATCTTCAGGTCTCAGTTGTCATTGATTGTGCCCTGTCTGTTTCAGATTTATTTTTTTATTAACGCCACACCAGGCAATATTTTTCCAGCTATATGATAGCGGTCTGTAAATCAAGTCTGGACCAGACAAACCAATGACTGACATCATGAGCATTGACTGACATCATGAGCATCGACTGACATCATGAGCATCGACTGACATCATGAGCAATTGGGTTGCAATGACATGCATCAAACAAGAGAGCAAATCTGACAACCCAATTCTGTTATCACTTCTTGCGACAAGCTTGAGTATTATCATGATTATGATTATGATTATGAATATTAAAATGAACTTTTCTTGGTACTTAAACTATCAGAATATAACCAGCAAAAGAACTCGAGAAATAGAATATAATAACACTTGAATAATAGAGGCCTTAAGTGGAAATAATACATTTGATAGTGATAATGAGATATTTCATACTGTTTATCTAAAAGATGTGTTTGGTGTATCAGTGTTACTGGCATATCCCAATTATCATGGTAATACTTTGTGAGGATGCAGTGTATTACTGGTATATTGGTAAATTGAGGTTTATTCTTTATTCGATACGTATCACAATATCATTTTGTTATGCTCAGTATATCAGGTGATTTGAAATAGCGACGTTTATCATGTGTTTCATTTTATACATTTAAATGAGTGAACATTATGTTGCACAGTCAGGGTGGCTTCTTGCCCACGCGGCAATTCAATTCCCATAACTCTGTGTAGAAATTCAATTTGGCCTGTTTTTACATTTTCTCCCCTTTTGTTATCAAAAAAGTGTTAACTTACATGAAGAAAGACACAAATAGTAACATACATTCATTATGTTTGTATTAATGTACTTTTGAAAAACAATTAACAGTAATCTTGACATAGAAAGGGAAAATGTTAAAAAAAATCATGTAAAATAGTAGGGTAATTTCAACTGGTAACTGCAAACTTCACGAGTTGAATTTTGTAATAAAACTTATATCATTAGAATCGCAAATGCTTGAGGAACACTATAACACGATTTTTGTCGATTATTTAGATATAAAAAACAGGAGAAATGTGTTGGAATTGGTGGGGAAGCCGTTCATGTGCGTTCAAGGGAGGTAACCGAGTGTGGCTTATTTACCATCAGCTGCCAAGAAGAAGCAGCAATAAAATATACACCTCTAAGTATATCATTATTATAAAGTGTTATACAGTGTTGTCTTCAACAAAAGAGACATTGGAGAGAGAATGAGGAAATTCATAAAAGCTTTGACTGTCTCGGGTATCTAAGAAATGACATTTCATCACATTTTGAGAGCTCCTTGACTGGGTGAGCAGACCACTTGAGAGTTCTTCGACTGGATCAGC